TGCATGTGAAAAGTGCAGTCCCAGGGCTTCTATGCATTTTCAAGAGGGCTGAGGGCTTAGAGAATGCTTTGAAAAGGAAAGGAGAAACTCTGTGTGAGAAATTTCGCCTTCAGCAGCCGCGGGGATCAACGGATTCAGAAGAAACAGACCACGGAAATGCTTCGCCCTTTGCCAAACACTCCCTGGATGCCAAGGTACACCTACGCACCTGAGATGCTGTTACCTTGCTCCTACCCATAGGCCCCCAAGTAGTTCCTTTTTATGGCTTATATTTAGAATCCTATAAGGCAATCCCAACAAGGAACTACTTAGGGGCCTATGGGTAATCCTGGGGAAGATCCGAAGCTGGCATCCACCTGAATGGTGCTGAAGGCTGGCGAGCGAAAGCTCGCAGGCAAATTTTCAGCGAAGAGGTCGCGCTGGCGTCTCGTGCGTAACACCCTGAAATCATAACGCCCTGCACTTCCCTCGAAACTCAGACCCACAATGGCTGACACCCAAGTCCGGGTGCATGGGTGCAGCACGGAAGCCGATGTCGCAAAACGGAGGCGTGAAACACAGTAATAGTCATAATAATAACAATACTACTAACAATAATAACAATAATAATAATAAGTAATACTACTAATAATAATAGTAAGTATTGGAAATACCGATATCGCCGGCTCGCTGCACAGTCTCCTGGCAGAGTCTCTTGAAGGAAGAGCCTTACATGACCAGGACTCGTGTTTCCTCGGACCTGAATCCCGAAACCCTGAGCCCTTTACCGTTTAGGCTACATTGAAAACCCTGTAATTAAACTGGTGAACATGGCTCGCCGCTGAGCCACTTCTCGTTTGCTGCGTGTGGGGTATAAGATAGGGGAGTTTCAGCACTCGCATCTAGGCACAGCCGGGGGATGCATCACACTACGTGCATATTTCATAGTGGACACTAGCAAACCGAAAAGTTTTTAATCTAAGTTCATCTAAGCTCGACGGAGTGATCACTCGGAAGCCTCAAAGCAATAGACCCCAACGTCTTGAAACCCGAAATTAAACCCTAAAAGCCCTAATTTGAACGAGATCTCTGAACCCTATAAAACCATATGTTTCAGCATGACCTTAAAAACCCCCAAAAGCCCCAAAACAGCCAGCCTCAGAAGCAGCCCTGGGGCTCCTCTTCGAAGCATTCCTAGACCCTCCATCTACCCTCTATTCGACCCTAAATACCCTTAATTTAGGACCGGGTTTAGGGTTTAGGGTTTAGGGTTATTTGGGACCCTTTACCCCTATTTGAGGGTACTTGGAGCGTCCTGGTTCTCAGTCTGCAAAGAGGTGCCCCAGCGCCAGCTTACGAAGGCCTGTCCATGGCTTCAAGGCACTGAGAGGTACTATATTCTATAGTGGACTTCACTGTACTACTACTGTACCATAACGTACTAGAGTATACTTATAAATGATACGAACAAATTCTGACTGTAAAGATACTCTAGATTCTACGGAACTATCAACTTGCAGGCTTCTGGCATAAGCATAGGACACTTCGGGCTCGCACGTGCGCTGCCAAGGCTCGGAAACGTTCAAATCTTTGGGGGGGCGGACATCTTACAAGGGCTCCGGCCATCAAAGCACCAAGAGCTGTCGGGCGGGCAAGCTCCAAAGCGTGTCCGTGGGCCCACGGGAGCTCCGATAACCCTGAGACAGGCACCCAAGATCCAAGTTTAATACCTCAACCCCTCACACAAGAGACGGTTAAAGAGCTCCATGCGTCTCGCGTTTCAGCAGCCGCCTGCCATTGCCCGCGGTCTCCGACTGCTCATTGCGATCCTGGAAGTCAGTCCAGCTGACTTCATGGACTAAGAGTGGCAAGGGCACACAGTCACATTCGAGGCTGGCAGGAATTAGTTACCCCATCTTCATCACAAGGGCCGAAGAGGAAGGATAGTGGGATCTGGCTTGATAGCGAATGACAGGAGCTGGGCAAGGAGGTATGATGGGCATCAGACCAACCTGCAGGAACAATCGTGTGCGCTAGCTGTGCATAGACTCTCCCAGGGAAGCAGCACCCAGATCATGTTCGTGATGCAAGCCCGAAGCCCGCACCCGTAACCATACACCCTACAGCCCTACAATTGAGGAACGCTCTGACTGTCTTGCTGGCAAACCTGGTGTTACGAGTATTAAACGGGTCCCTGCATGTCCTGCCCACCCACCGTCGCCATAGTGACACCAAACATAAGCCGACCTCAGATCGACGAAAGGACCGCTTGCTTCCTGCTTGGAGGATGTAGGCTCTGTTTCCAAAAAACTTAAATCGCGACCTTGTTCGAGAAAGCACTGTTGAAGTAGGTGTCTCAGAAAGGGCCTAGGCTCAGAACCGCCCCGAACTGCGAACCACACAAGCCACGTGACGGGCTCATTGCTTCCTAGATCCCGGGCTGTAGCAGGTAGATCAGCCGAATTAATAGTTAAAGCAAAGGTCAGCAAGGGGTTTCGGGCCCAAGGCCGTGGCATTTCTATTCACCCGTTACGGGTACTGCAATCGGCACCTCCAAGCCCTCATCTCGAGTTGCCCTTGTCATGCTGGCACAATGCGTATGCAGAAAACAGCTATATCTGTTTGCCTCGCATCTAGAGACGCTGAATTGTAACACCGTTTCTTGCTTAGCCTACTGCTTTATGATCGGGGTCCTGCAATCAAACATTCAAGTAACCAGGCCTCGGAAGTGTCATGGAGGGTCCTCAAGGTCTCGAAACCCTGCCGGGCATCTAAATCCCAAACTCTACAACTCCTAAACCCTGACTCCAAAATCACAAAGTTCTGAAAATCCTACACCTCGACACCCACAAAAAGTGCTAAAACCATATGCCTGGACTGACCCCGGCACCGTGAGCAAGAGCATTCATATTCCTTCGGATGAAGCAGTTTAAGCAAAACAGCCCTAAGTCACCTTGGCCAAGTACCTCTCTCATCCGAAACCCTTTTTGAACGAGGTCTCTCTGCATCCGAAACCCGAAACCCGAAACCCTAAACCTTGGCCATGTACCTCTTTCATCCTCCGCGGACATGGGCGGAGGTCGTGGGCGGGGCTCCGGCTCAGGAAAGTAGAACCTGAGCTCAGAGGCTTTTGGGGCGGAACGTGGGGGGGGGGGTGTTTAGGGTACCATGTTTTGAGGTGTTTTGTTTTAGGGTTTTAGGGTTTAGGGTTTCGGGATGTTTTGTGGTTTGGAGCTAAGGTTCAGAATCTGGGGTTAAGCATGGAGGCTTTGGGAGGGATGGGTGTGGCCCTGATCTTTGCGTAAGGGCGGGTTGTGATTTGATAACGACTTCGCTGTGCTTTGTCGCTATATGTTACACCGGGCTATCTGGCTAAGTTCGGCTTTTTGTCGTCGAGCACCTTGTAACGACCCTAGACCCTCAACCCTCCCACCCTCAATCCATCTTCATCAAACAGCCCCTAAACTAACAGTGCCCTAAATTTTCCACCCCAAAATACCCTAACAGCATGTAAAGGATAGACCCTAAGCTCAACCCTTACAACCCTATCGAATCCCTAAACCCTACAGGGCACATGTAATCCCTGGATGCAGCCCCAGACTGCATCAGCGATATAACCGAATTTAATTTCAATCCTTGATCCGTGGCAGCGTCCTTTTTCGCAAATGCACTACATGCTGTGTCCGCCGCACGCCACGGGAGTCGACACGTCGGGGCATGTCGCGTGTCATCCCTGGGCACACATTGGGACTTTTCAGGCTTGGCTGTGGGGATTTTTTGAGGCTCAACGCTCTGCCTTCTGAGCTCTTTGGATTGGGCTGAGGACTAAGGGCTCGTGACGACTTCTTACGATTTACAGAGTGGCACATCTCAGGTCTTGTGTAAAGGGTTTTGTGGGCTTGCCAAGGAAGGCTTCAAGATTGCAAGTAGGCCACAGTACACCTTGAAAGCAGCCCTCGATTTGAGGGCTTTAGCTGCTTGGGGTTCCAGGGTTTGCCTGTCGCACTGGACTACTCAAATGAAGCCTCGGATTTTCGAACATGTACTGCAAAGTTGCAGGATGTGGCAGTCAACCTACGAAAAATGCGCTAGTTCTTATCTACTACTCAGATTTACCATAACATGCTATAATTGATACAGCTATAATCGGCTAGGCCTTGAGTTGCGCCAGGCGAACTCACATGTCAAAAGGCAAGGTGCGGATCGTCGCCGTGGCCAGTACGGCAAAGCCGACCGCCTTCTTGACAGGAGAGTGATTGTGAAAGAGGTCGAGGTCCCTTTGCGTTGACATCTGTAGGAACTCATTGAGGTCTAGGGGCCGCTTCTGAAGTCCGCAGTGTGATGGAATGCCTCGATCATGTCCACCCCAAAGTGGCGTGCAACACCGTGCAGTCTCCCTCTTATTACTCGCTGAATCCATCAACCAAGGCATTTCTGCACCTGCGCCGGCTTTAGGATGCTGCCACCGCCCCTGCAGAACCCAAAAACCCGGACCCCGGATGCCCTCCCGCAGTACTCCTCGGCCGCTTCCTTGGTCGACGCCAAGTTGTCCAGATCTCAGTGCGGCTGGTTTGCTGGGGATGTCGTCTCGATAAAAGGCCAGGCGATATCTAATCAGTCTAATCCTTCCATAGCATGTCGGCATCGATCCATCCAAGATTCCCGGACCCTGATCCACTGAGATACGCACCGGCGCCGTCGCCGATCCTCACGTCTGGGGGCTTGGGAGGTGCAGGATCTTGGTTCAAAACGCAAGTTTACGGTTTGGGAGCCTAAGCAGCCTTTGTTGTTTGCACGTGAAGCCTGGCTTGAGCTCTAATCGACTCCAGGCGTCATTGAAACGAACCTTTTCCTTCCAGCCTCTGGCATACTTTGGGGATCGGGATGTTATGATGTAAGATTTGTAGACACTCCCCGCGGGTCCAATTTCGGGCTTAAGGTTCCAAGGCTCCTTTTGCTTAGTTTGAGCTGGGTGGCACTAGCGTGGCCGTGCCCTCGGGGACGAGGTTGTTCCAGACGGCTTGTAGCCACTCTTCCTGCTGCCTGCGGCTTGGAGATGCTAAGAACTAAAAGGTCGCATTTGTGCTCGTGTTTTTGGATTGGGAAGCTGCCACATCCGACTGCGTACGTGTGGCCGGAAAGCAATGAGTTCGTCATACATGCATCTTGCATGCAGCGGTATCCCGATTGAGGTTCTCCTGTTCTCCCACTGTTATCCGAGTTGATAGAGGCATCCCCCTGCCAATGCACCCAGCCCAAACCCCAAACCGTGTAACAACCAGTTACCCAAGTCCACTGATCATCTCTGCAGGCCGGCTGCTTGCGCCAGCTGGCCGCAAACTCCTCGGGCGCCGTCCTTATGACAGGGCTTCGACTTTGAGGTCTTCGGTTGTAAGCTGGGCCATCTTGAACCTTGCTTTCGAGGGTTTCAATCACGACGGTGCTGCGCGGGGCCGTGGGCTGTCCACGGGCACCGAAACCGCTCCATGCTTTGAGCGCCTGGGGTTCCAGGGTTCCCGCCTCAGGCTTTTTGCCACATGTAATGACTGATGGTGGACTGAACGGGCAGATGGTGAAGTACAACTGAGCATACTCCGACAACATAATATTGAAGCCCTCACACCCCAAGCCCTGAGAAACCTTCTTGAATCCCTTTAAAACCCAAATCACTTACTAAGCTACCCTGCCCTTGTCGGCTGAAGGCGCTCCATTAAGGCAAGGCTGCCGATCTCCATGCTTTCCATCCTTCCGCGAGTCGTCGGCTCTTCTGTGTCGCTCTCCCTCTCACTCCCTCTGTTCCTCCCCTCTCGCCCGCACTGGAAATGCTTTATCGGTAGGACTCAGTTGCCCAATCCATCATCGAACTATGGGGAGTTTCTGGACGCAGTGATTCTGGACGCAGTGACCAGAGAGTTGAGGTTTCGCACCGGCAGAAACCGGGTCAAAGGGGCTTTAACGTTGCAAGACCTCAAATGTTCTGGTTTTGATTGAACTGATGGATCAATTAAGTGCCAAGACCATCTAGGCCATCTTTAGAGGAAGAAGCAACAAGCCAAAAGCGCATGAAAATTCGGCGAGCAGCCGCTCAGCATTACATTCTGGAAGACCGAATCTAACCATGCTACACCATACCCCCCCAAAAAAAAACGAAACCGTGCTCAGATCGTTAGACCCGATACCAGAACCTTGGCAGTCGCTCTCATAGAATAGTAGCCCTTCCTGGCAGACCCAGGTTCCTTTGCCCTTACCCTCTAAGGACTCATATTTTAAGGCTTTTGGGGCCCAAAGACCCTACCTTTATAAGGCTTTTGGGCGATTTTGATGTTAAGGGTTAGCCCTAAACCCTAAACCCCAAAACCCTAAACCACTAAACCCTAAACCCTTAGGCTCCCTTAAAACCGGCCTCGTTGCATCCTCGGAGGGCCCGAAGACCTCGGCAGCGCCCGCGAGCCAGCCCTGGCTCAGGCGAGCCGCCTCGACTTGGATGCAAAAGTCTACAGAGTTTAGGGCTCATAGGGTTTAGGGTTTAGGAATCAGGGTTTTAGGGTTTTAGGGTTTAGGGTTTAGGGGTTCAGGGTTTTAGGGTTTAGGGGTTTAGGGTTCAGGGAGTCTATTGTGAGGTTATGCAGTGAGCTTTAGACCACGAAAGTTGATACTTTATACCCTGGCTCATACCATTAAGTTAGAAACTACACTATGGCTTTATAGACCCATAGTATACTAGTAGGCTGTATTGGCCGATAGTACTACTGCGTGAATTTCATTCTTGCTGCTATGTCGATTAGATGAATTAGTGTTGCTACTCTTTGATTTGCACTGCTAGTGCGAAGGTTTCTGTTCCTGCTGACATCAGAAGCCACGAAGACAAGAACGAGGAGAATAAAGGGGAGAAAAAGGAAGGCTGGAAAAGAAACCAAATCGCAAGCCCTAAACCCCAGATTTAATCTGATTATCATCCAAGGCTTCTGCGAGGCTTTTCGGACGGATTAGGGATGGCTTGGCTTGCCCATCATTCCTAGCAGACTCAACGACTCTGTTCGGGGGTTTTCTTTGAAGAATCTAGAAGCTGACTCAGCCATGCAGCAGTGGCATAGCTGTAGGCGCCAGGACAGGGTGGGCTGGTGATCACAGCTTCCACAGGTCGGCTGAGCTGCAGCGTCCGTGCATCCCCACAGCCGGTTCTCACCAAGTCCGGGAAAGGCATCGAGGATCGAAGTGCACTGAGCTGAGCGGCATAGAGCTCCACGGTGCCCAGGAACATGGGCCGGCAAAGCTTCGGTGGCGGATCTCCCCAGCTCTGAGACGCCCCGAAGCCTTTGGAGCCCGATAGAGCAAACACGTCTTGGCCGCCTGGGCGCTGCAAGGCGACGAGGAGGCAGAACCAAAGGGCGGACGTCACGGGATCTTCTTTTAAAGCACGGAGGCGGCCTCTCAAGTCATCCCAGCTCAGCTCTTTCTCCGGAGCCAGGGCCCTCGCCTGAGCTCGCAGCTCCTCCAAGCTGATGCGCTCCACGTCAGTGTGGTGTCGTGCCACGAAGGCTGCCAAAGGCGATGCATCCGAGCCTGTAGCAGCTTTCCCGGCAAGCGCTGCCTCGATAAGGACCGTGCCAGATCCACAGAATGGGTCCAGCACAGTGGAGGCAGAAGGATTTAGCCACAGCAGCTGGCGTGCCGCCATCGCCTGCATAGGCATAGGAGGAGGATGGCGCCTACACTCACTGAAACTCCGGGTCGTGCAAGATCTCTGTTTTGCGACTGTGCTTTTAGCTTCGAGACGCTGCGAGGCAGGGGGGGCATCGACAAAAACCCAATCTCAGGATTCCCCCGACCGAGGTGACCAGAGCCTGCATGGATGCGAAATACTTGAAGAAGCCGTGGGTCAGCTGGTCCTGCAAAGCCCGGCTGGTCGAAGATAGATGGTGTCTGGCTAAGGGCCGTGTATTGGGACAGGCCTTATAGGCGAGCATCTAATTCTATGCCTATGCCGAATCCAGACATATCCAGCATCCCTATGAAAGCTTTCCTCCGGACGTGCGACCAGATAAAACATTTACAATCGTTCGGTGGTTCGGCTGGCTGTCTCAGGGTTTCTGTTTTTCCGGTAGATATAATGAAAAGCTGAAGGCGTAGGAATGTTCACTCACTCGGCGGATCTCGCCTGGCCCTCAGGCACACCTGGGTAGCCATAGAGCCACCTTGCAGGCTTTTGCTTAGTGAATGTCGGGGTCAAATCCGAAACCCTCCTTGGCCTACCACGTCTACAGAATTGGGAGACCCGTTGCAAGCCCCAACTCGAAGACTGCGAAGTCAGACCTGGTTACCGGATTCTAACACTCGCAGTCTGGCGCTGGAAGATGGCTGGACATCCGAACTCAGCAACAGAGATTGCAAGACAGCCGATTTACAGCGTTCCTACACAGGGCGAGGAGTCGTGCACCGATCTTTGAGCCTCTCTGCAGCTGCTTGTTGCGATACTCGGGCTTGGTTTGGGCTTAGGAAATACGAAGTACCTATAGTCTCCGTTGTAGCGCCTTTTTAAGCCAACTGTAGATTTGGGATCCTACAAGCTAACCAAAAAGGGAACAACAATGGAGACTACAGGTATAAGAACAAAGCGGAATCGAATCGAACTGACACCGCCCCGTCCCAGCTTCGCCTGTAGGCCCGAGTGCAAAGGACTTCGTGCTTTCGGCTTTACTGCTGTTCAATGTGGAATACCCAATGCCGTACAACCCCACAACCCCCTCCCTACCTCTCAAACTGCATTAACCCCACCCCCCCCCCCACATTGGAATCTCTTCAAACAAAGTCTAAGCCTCTTCACCCTGAGCCAAGTTTAACCCCTTGACCCGTTAAAGCCGCTATACAAGAACCTGGCTTCCAGTTCGAGCCGCTGAAATCGAAGTGCATTCGCCATGGGCTCAGTCAGCTCGCCAGGTCCTGGCTGACTGGGGATGCTAGGAAGTACCTGAAGGCTCCATATGGGGGTTTTCGAAGATAGGGGACCCTAGTATAGTAGTACCCTAAATAGTAGGATCCGTATTATAAGGGACCCCAGAATAGGGTACCCTCTAATTTTCGGAAAGTCCCATATATTGTCGTGAGAATGCCTGGTAGCATTGATATTGCCATGGCTGCCGACTAGTATTGCCTCTACCACGGGAGACAAGGATGACGAGCCGATACTCATGTGATCAACCTGATCATCTCCTTGGTAAGGTAATTCGCTATAGGTTGCCTGCCCTCTCCTTCTTTGGGTTGTTCTGGGTTTAGGCCTCCCTCCCGACTTGCGCAATGCAGCAGTACCGCTGCGAGGTCGCTTACCCTACTCGCCAGAGCAACTTTACTGAGGGGCCGTTGAACCCTAAATGTGTTAAGGCAGGCCAACCCTGCCGGGGAGCTCTCCCTTCTTGAGTCATTGAGGCTGCCACGGCGATGAGTTTTCACTGCCGCTCATTGTCTACAAGATTGCGTGAGTATTACTACCTCTACCTGCTTTTGTTTGCCAGTGACCGGTTCGTGTTACCAGCACATCCACAACGATATCCACCACCACACTGGCACTGGTATTTACGGCATCATGGGTCACCCGCAAATGCATTGCCGGGACCCACAGCCAAATCGCCCGACCGCAAGTACGGCCAATGAATCTACCCACAAAAGCATCAGCACTACGACTTGGGATCTTGGGGATGCTGGAGCGCATCGGTGGTGTAGTAACTACACTAAACCTGATATACCACACCATGCTGCTTCTCTCTCCGGCGGTCCGTCCATCGTCACCTCCAGGAGTGCCACCTCGTCGGGATCCGGACGGCAGAGGCGCTGAAGTGCGGGCTGCAGCGCCAGCACCTGCTGTTTTCCAAGGCTGCGCCTTTGAGGGTTCGTCGATCGCTGGAGACTGCCACAAAATGAATCTGGAACAATCCATGCATCGTAGCTGCTTGCTGCAAGACAAAAGCCTTCCCTTTCGGCCTCAGCACACTGATCTTGTAGGCGTGTTTTTATCCTGCAAAGATGTTGGAAGAACTGGCCTCCCCAATCTTCCGAAACACCAACCCACCGCGCGTCCGAAGTGACCCCCGCCAAACCGTGCCTGTGCCCATTGCCCGCCTGGCTCTCTACTTGGTGCGCTGGGGCAGGTGCAAGACCAACACATTAGTAAACTGTCTACGCAGGGGTGGAATGGGAAACTCAACACAAGAGTTATTTGGCATGCGGGTGAAATATGCCGTGCTACTGATTGCACGCAATTTCAGACACTTACAAGGAGCAACAGAAACACATAAAGATGCACTTTCCGTGCAGTCTTGGGACACCGCAGTAGGGGCAGGTAGCCAGAAGGCAGATCCCTGCCGGTTCGGGTGTAGAGAGGGAGCGGATAGATCGCAGATTTGCTTCGGATTAGTGGCAAATTCGGGAGGAGAAGTCGCAACAGACAAGGCTTCTTACTGCATGTACATTCGGTGTAGGCGCTTCATATAGGAGTTTTTCCTGTTGTTTTGGCGACACATTCACTTTAGCAAGCCATGCGGACGTCCGTGCAGGAAGCCCACACGTCCCGCGACAAAGGTTTGAGTGCTTCGCCTTGTTTTGCAGGCCCATAGTCTTTCTTCGGCACTGATGTCTAAGGATGTAAATCTCATGAAAAATGTAGCCCGCGACCGGGCAGAATCTCAACAGCTGCTGTTCAGGACGAGGTCTTTCCACCGTATATAGTGTTTGTGGGATCTCTTCAATCACAACGGTAACTGTATGCAAAACCTGGATTCAATTCTTGCCTGTAAGGTTGCCCTCGGTCGATGCTCACTGCTCATCGGGGTGCCCGTGTTCCCTTCGCTTGTCGGCTTCTGCGTTGATGCCTTGCTGATTCGTCCGGAAACCAACATTTGCGATGATGTACGTGCCCGTATGAAGAAGCTTGAAGGCACAGGCTCTTGCAACATGCCCTCATCGACGTCCATGTTCAACGTGCAGATGTCGATTACTCACCATGCCAAGCTCGAAGCCGCTAAGGAATAGCAACAGATGCCCAACCAACCCAATGCCGAGACACAGTTCTCGCAGGCGCGAAGAGCTGCATCCAGGGCTCCTGTCCAGTTCTTGGTGCTGGAACAGTCAGAGGTGAACGATGCACTGTAACTGGTTGCAACATCCAGGAATCAGAAGGAGGCATGTGTCCGGAGACGCGATGCCGGCCGTTCCACATGCATAATCATGTGTCTTAACTTTGGGTGTTCGTTTCACGATGCTCCTGTGACATCTGCCGGTTTTGCTACGACATTGCAACCACGATCAACCTAGCTTAGACTGTGCCAGGATAAGTACAGGCAAACATACAATGCGGAAACTCAGCTGCAAGGCAGCTGTGCGGTTGGAGAAGCCCACAGGGCATGAGGCTTAGAGTCCTTTGCACCTCCAGACATTCCAACCCCCTTAACCTAAGGCCTTTGTAAGCCCGAGATGCCACGCTCGATGCCGATGCCCTTTGCCGATGCATGGCCCAGGAGGTGCACGGCTGCTCTCCACTGTGCCTCAAAACCGGAATTCCCAAAGCTATCATGCATCTGGGATCAGGTGGCACCTGTTTGGGATAAGGCCGATGATAAAGTTTGGGAGACTTCAATTCTTATTCTTACTACTATGATTATTATTATTATTATCATTGTTGTCAAAGCTCGGAACTGCGCCTGGTGACTTGGGCCGATGGGATTCCGAGCCTGGCCTGGAGTGCCTGATTCACTGATTCAGCGTCTTTGACTCTTCAACAGCCAGCCGAAACCCTACACCCTAAACCCCTAAACCCCTAAACCCTTTTACACCTGGACTATGCCCCTAAACCCTAAAGCCTAAACCCTAAACTCTAAACCCAAAACCCTAAATCCTAAACCCTAAACCCTAAACTCTAAACTCTAAACCCTAAACCCTAAACCAAGCACAGCGCCAAGGCAGGCCGAGGCAAGGGCGCTCTGGGCAAAGGCCGGTGCAGCTGCATTGTATGTCCTCTCGGGGGGTTAGGGTTTAGGGTTTAGGGGTTTAGGGGTTTAGGGGTTTAGGGGTTTAGGGGTTTAGGGGTTTAGGGTTTAGGGGTTTAGGGGTTTAGGGTTTAGGGGTTTAGGGGGGCTGACGCCTTTCGCCCACCATTGTGCGCAGGCTTTAGTAGATTAGATGTTATGTCATAGGGTGTGGGGTTTAGGGTTTCGGGTTTAGGGGTTTCTTACTGGGATGAGTTCAGATGCTTTGCCACCCCTGCTTTTCATGAGTCTTGTGGTGAATCGGCTCGGGGCGAAAAAAGAGCGGAAGGAGGACGATGCATGGTGGGGGTGAGCAAATATAGGGGCCCTAACAATTAGAATAGGGTTTTGGGCCCCTTTATAATATAATAAGGAACCCCCAGCAGAATATTGGTAATTGTTTAGGCTTCTAGATTAGTACCCAGCAGAAAAGGCAGGGTGGAGAATTGGTTAACTGCTTTGATGCGGCACACTTCATGCTTCCTATTCGTGCATTACAAGTAGCTGCAGATCCCGGTACCCACACCCGAAACCAAAACCAACAACGAACAAGACCCCTCCAAGGAGTTTCGAGCCCACCGGTCGCAGCATCCGCTGCGAAGCGTAGCCAGGGATCGTCCGAAAAGAGAGCCAGGGTGTTCTCCCATCTCGTAAACGCATTGCTTGGTTCAAGGAGTTGCAGCATCTGGTTGGGCTGGAAACTCTGTCGGTTCGGATTTTTTCCTCCGGGCTCGAGGGTCTAGGGTTTCGGGTCATTTTCTGCAAGACTCAGCTTCCAGGATTCGCTTCCTCTGAATAAACACCAATCCTGTCGGCAGTAAACAAAGCAATCAGCAATAGTCAACAGGCAGTGGGAGTGTTCATGAAACAGAGGCGCGATGTTTGTAGTGGACCTTTGCAATCAGAGTAGAAGCCTACTAGTCTCAGGTCTGTATTCGGATCCCTAGGTGCTGCATCAGGGGCCCGCCTCAGCTCAGGAGCAGGGAATGCTTCTGGCAAAGGTTTGCTAAGGCCACCTACTTGATGATCGCAGGACTCAGCACAGCCAGGCACAGGACCACTCCTTATTGAGAGAAGCTCATGCCTCGGCCAACCGACCTGAAAAAACGACATGCCCGATGAAGAGCTCATTTTCAAATCGAGGCTTTGAGGCAAGTTGCTGCGTAGCCTTGGCCAAGGATCCAAGCAGAATGTTGTAACCTCATTCGGGCGGCGCCCTCAACCCTAAGACCTGGGTTGTGTAACTTACTGCCAAGATCGCTCAAGGTCGGACATGATGTACATCTGTTGGCATACAGCTGGCCACCCGATGTTTGGCTTTACACAATGGCAATGTTGTCAAAGGTGCTATAGGTGTTCGGCTGCAGGGCGGTGACGTACATCTCCTGGCCAGAACAGTCGGGACAGCACGACCCGAACTTCCACATGCCCTTCGTAGCCACAGAGTCGTCTAGTAGTATAGCAGGTATGACAGGACCACGTGGCTTGCAAACATATAGGCACAGTGGCAAGGGACTCTGGTTCAGGTGCCTGCGCAGCATCTCTGGGAAACAATGACGGGGCCGCAAATCAGAGAACGATCCGATGATGGCCCTGCGCCCCAATCCCTGGCCCCTCTGCCCCCGGCCTGCAGCAGATCCACTGCCAACTCCCAGCTTCGGCCGGCCTTCGTCAAAGAAGTCTTTGGGGTTTTAGGGCTCGTCGCTTCAGAGGTTTAAGGGTGTTATAGAGCTACGTGTGGCATTTAAAGGTTGGATTCGGCTTTCTAGTTGTGTACTCTTTCCACCTTCAGGTGCAGAGCTGAGGGTTGCTGCAGGGTTCTGTTCTAGTTTAAGTGTTTAAGGATTCGTACTGAAGGGTTGTCGTGTTTCTGTCCGCCTGCCTAGCAGAAGTGGAGGTCTCGGAGTTCAGGGCTTACGGTGGAGTGAAGGGATTCTGAGATTTAGGACATTTCAAGCTCTCGAAGTTGAGCGTGAAGATGTTGGGGCTTTAGGTTCCAGTCTAAGGTTACAGTCAAAGCAGATGTCATGGACATCGGTTCGATTTGCAACAGGCGTTGTGAGTAACTCTGTGCCGGCAGAGCAAACACCAGTCATGACCGGTCCCTGCTGCCTGGCACGCGTTGAGGACAGCATTGTAGCAAAGCGTGTCTGGCGACTCCTGCTGCCAGTCTGCTGTGATCACGGCCTGTCTCATCTCTTGCGATGTTCAGATTTTCAAATCAGCAACATGGTTTAGGGTTTATAGGGTTAGGGCTTGCGGCTCTCATACTAGGACACTGAATCCCCGGCTCCTCGGCCCACCATATCTGCGAGAAGATGTCCAGAGCCTGGAGGCGACAGCTCCTAAGTAAGATCTGTCCCGTGGAACAAGCCTGATTGCGGGATTTTTTTTAAGTGCAACAGCCCTGATTGCGGCTTAGGGTTTAGGCCTTCTTTTTGGGTTTCGGAACTTCTGTTCAGCGACGCCCTGCATGTTGCCAAACAGATCTTAAAACTGCGGTGGCTCCTTGACATGCTGTTCCCTTCGGGCTCGCCTGCGTCAGCCCCGGAACAACGAACCCATATGCCATGCTCTGAAGACGCCGCTTCGAACATGACGCAGAAGCCTGAATGACTGCTGACACCACTCCTTTCTGAAAATTTTAGTGTACCATACCTGGAAGCCCAGTTCAAGCTTTAGGGCCCTTATACTGGTGCCATGGTTAAAGAGTCACCCTTATATTAACTTATGATAAGAACCACTTCGTAAGGTCCGTTTTCCTTCGCGCCTCGGTCCACTGCGTCGCCTTGACGCAGGCCCTGAGGTACCAGGGATCCCCCGGCCCCTCAACTTGTATAACGAAAGCTTCGAGAATGCTTCTGTTTAGCTGCTTCGAGGGTTCTATCATCGTATGCTGCGGCTGATCGTGGGATTCGCGAAACAGGAAATAGGGACTGCTCATCCGATGCAATTCGCCGCTTCCGCGCTCAATCCTGTGCAAGGCACCCCATGACGGCACTGAAGCCCACGACGTTGCAAGACTGCCGGTCCTGTGCAAGGCCTCGGGCTGAGCGACACTCGCCCGAAAAAAGTGAGCCTTCAGGGGCACACCCTAAGTCTTTCTGATGCTTTCCGTTAGGGCACATAGTCATAGTGCTACGAGTTTGCATATGTCACAAAACAAAAATTCAGAAAGGCGAGCCAAGAAACTTGCTCCGTGACACACAAGCCACTGAAGACTCCCGAGAAGTGAGCTCTATCTACAAGCTCTGGAACCACAATCCCAGATTCCTAAACCTATATTGAAACCCTTCTTCTGCAACCCTAATGGCTTCAAGCACCTTCACCAGAAAGCCGTCTAAGCAGGCCCAGGTGGCCGAGGGTCTGCAGGGCTCTCTGCCACTGCACAGCCGAAGAGAGGGCTTTGATCGCCGAGCTGAAGCTATACTCGTTGGGTGCGACCTCAACCACCTGGACTCCAGGCTTCATGTGGGGCCTGGCGTTTACAGAAGTTAAAGCGTATTTAGGGGCTTAGGGCCGAATCCTGCATTCCAGCAAGAGGCGCGCCACAGGGAAAACTACCATTCACTGAAAATTGCCAACGGTTTTGGGCAAAAGCAAGATGCACATTCCATGACCTCTGCCTGAGACAGCTCGGGAAATCATATATGACCGTGCGGACTTAAAAATGGGTATGGAGGGCCCATGCTCCGCAGCCAAAGTGCCTGTGGTTTGGCCCTTCCTTGCCCTGACAGCAGCCCTTAACCCACACCGGGCACCTGCTCCTACATCTGCAAACCTTTATCTCGCTTTATATCTCCCTCTCTCTCTCTCTCTCTGTCTGTCTGTCTCTCTCGCTCTGTCTTTCTCTCTTTCTCTCTCTCTCTCGATGCCGGACTGTATACCATGAATGCTCTTTTGAGGTGCAGCGACACATGTTGCTTAAACAGTTCCACAACCCCCAAACCCTAACCCCTATTGACCCCTAATTTTAAAGGCCTGCATCTGCTCCAGCATGCTCATGGCGCGCTCCCAGTCGTGGCTTTTCTCGGAGGCCTCGATGAGTTTTGGATCCCTGGCATAAAGGGGCCGCCTTGACAAAACAGAGCTCAAGGTTTGGGGCTTCGGGGTAACAAGGCTTCGGACCTCGGGAAGTTCATAGGCGTGGCCGGTACAGGCGTAAGGTGCTCAGATAAGTAATCACAGTCATGGTGGTAGCCGTAACTGTCGCAAAAATGTCGCGGGCAGGAGCCGGTACTAGTAGTCTTCGTCGTCGAAGCAATAGTAGCAGAACAACAATTTCTAGCAGTCTTCTTCTTCTTGTTGTTGTTGTTGCTACCGCTGCTGCTGTTGCTGAGAGGATGTCGCTGTGTCTGCCAGTGTCGCTGCCGCGGTTGCGGTTGCAGTTGTTGCTGCAGATGTCGCTGTGGCTGGGTGTGATTGTGCTGGTTGTGATTGTGGTTGCGGTTGTTGTTGCCGTTGCTGTTGCTGTTGCTGCGGCGGTGGTGGTGGTGGTCTTGGTGGTGGTCTTGGTGGTGGTCTTGGTGGTGGTCTTGTTGTTGGTCGGATTATTGTTCTTGTTATTGTTCTTGCTATTTCTCTTGTTATTGTTTTTGTTGTTGGTATTATTATTGTTCTTCTTCTTCTTGTTGTTGTTGTTGTTGTTCTTGTTACTGTTCTTGCTATTTCTCTTGTTATTGTTTTGTTGTTGGTCTTCTTATTGTTCTTGTTGTTGTTCTTCTTCTTCTTCTGAGTATTCGTGCTCTTGTTCTTGTTCTTGTTCTTGTTACTATTATTACTCTTGTGGTTGTAGTTGTTGTTGTGGTGGTTGTTGTTGTTGTTGCTGCTGGTGGTGTTGGTGTCGATGGCGGTGGCGGTGATGGTGTGGTAACAGCAGCAGTAGCAGCAGGAGTGCGGTGGTGGCTGCTGCGCTTTCTAATCGACGCCCAAGGCACGACGATGCCGGCGCTGTAGTGGAAAACGTTGGGCTCCAGAGAAGCTAGCTCCATAACCTTTTGCACCGGCTCGGGTTTGAGAATTCAGGGGTTGCGACTCTCACCGCGACTGGGCTTACAAGATCTCAGTGTTCACTGCGTCCGTATCTGAAGGACATATAGGTTTTTGCATACGTTGCTGACTATCTGCATTCATCGGATCTATCTACACTACATGACGTCATTGGGCTCCGACGTGTGGGTCAGAAGGACAGACTTTCCGGCAGGGCTTAAAACCCGATTTGAGTTTCACGGTTTAGGTCTGCTCATACAAAAGTCAGCACGAAGACGATGGGCTCGAGTAGATGAGGGATCCATCGCTCTGCTAACCTGACGCAGTAAGCGAATGCCCGTAATACCTGAACCTCGCAACTTTCATGAACAACAATGGCCCGGGCATTAGTTTCACAACTCTCGCCTCATGCCGAATCATGTCCGGTCAAAGCAACACAGCAATGCCAAAATTGCAGCCAAGAGGTGCAAACACTACCCTGAAAATCAGGGAGGGGATGAACAATTAAAGCAAACAGAAGTTCGGGTGACCACAACTCCTTTCCCCAAAACTCGGAGCCCAAAACCCTCGGGCCCCAAACCTGCAAACAGCCGGGGCAGCAACCTGCAGGACCCTCTGGGCAGTGATGCTTCGCCGCGCCTCGCCACACAGGATGCTCAGAGACTTCAAGCTACCTCGAATTTGAGCTTCATGTTTAAAGGGGCCCGGGGCCGAGGGTTTGGGTGCTTTGGAGGTCCGAGGGCAACGGTTTTCGACGGAGATCCTCAATCAACGAATGTTGGGGGACCAACGAGAAGATGAGGTGAGGCCGACGAGGTGCAAACAGGCCTTGCAAGCGCGAATGCACGGGCTGACAGCTGAGCGTTCGCATTGCGGGCATCGCAGCCAAATAAATTGCTAGTGGCACGTGCATGGCAACACTGAGATGCTTTCAGTTTACCAAGTGCTTAAGTTTAATAGAAAATTCAGCAGCCGGTTGGAAGCAATTCACGGAGGGCATCATGGTCTGAGAGCTTTAGGCTCAGGGTACCGAATCCCAGAAGCAGCAAAACATACCTACAGCGCGCGACCCCTGCGGCTTCCTTGCCCAGACTTCCCAAGGTGGCGGTGGCCAGCTGCGGCTGCGTCGCCCACTCATCCAGGACGGGCCCCAGGACTTCCACAACCTCTCTGTGGCAAAAGTGGTGTCGGAGGGTTTAGGGTTTAGGGTTTCTGAAGAGGCTATGGAGCAAGCTTGTTTGAAACCAGGCTGCTTCCGTCATCGCCGCTGTCACCGACATCATCGCCAACAGCAGCGGCATCATCTGGTGCTGCATCATCGTCATCAGCATCTCCGTCATCGTTATTGTCGTCATCAGTCATCACCACCATCACAGCAAAGTCAGGCAAATCAAACCAAAAGGAACCCCTGGTGACCCTTTATCGTCACAAAAATAAATCACCAATCGCATTACAGTTGCTGCCGTAACCGTCTGATGCTGTAGATCCTGGGTGTCCAGATCATTTCATGAGCCACCTTCCTGTCACTAAGCATTTATTCCTTGCGTATTGCCATCACTATCGTTATAACGACGACGACCGACGACTGTTGCTACCACAACCTCCTCCTCCTCCCTCCTCCTTTCAGCGATCTTTTTTAGCTACGCACTCGCACGCTCGGTGCGACTAAACTAAATGGAAACAATGGCACAACAGTGAAGAAAACAACTGTTTCTAAACGAATGGGCAACTCCGGCTATCAGTTCACGCAATAGCAACGATTTGCAAGAGTCTCGCGCGGCGTGTCCCTAAAGGACAGCCTTTAAATTTAGAGCTTACTGCTGACGGAGCCCAGCTTCAAGTCTCTTGCCCGAGAAACGGGACGAAGCAGAACTGTCTCCGTAACAACCTAAAGCCCCACGAGCAAAATCTCGGAAATGCCGTACCCCCAGAACCCTAAGCCCTAAACTCCCTAAACCCAAAATCCCGCCATAATATAGGCATTGACTATCCCCTGCCAGGCCCGACATACCTGTAATGCAGACCACATGGCCTCCGGGAATTTCGGTTCAACGCCCAGCCTCGAGCTAAGAACGCTGGAACTCGGCTTGTTTTAGGATTAAGCCTCAAGCCGATGTAGGCTCAACTTCCGGGCTACCGGGCATTAAGGCTTCAGTGCGAATGGATGCAGGAAGGGTTTTGGGCTGTAGAGGGTAAGTGTTGCTAGCTTCAGGATATAAGTAGTTAGGGCTGTCGGGTCTAAAGTGTTTAAGGCTTTAGGCCAAGGCTCTACGACTTCTAGACTTAAAGGCTGGGGACTCATCAGAATTCACATTGACCCGTTCCTTCACGCCCAAACTGCCGCCTCTGCTCATCAGAGAACGACCGACCCAGGCCCTCAACCCCAAAACGCAGGGACCTGGAACTCTCACGCTCACGAAGGCTTCGGGAGAGTATCAGGCCAATATTTAAAAAAGGGGACCGCAAAGGAACCTAGACAAAAAATCATACAACTGCGATCCTTTATGACAAGGAATCTCCAGTAACAACAAGAAGCCTGCAAGAGCCCTCGCACAAAATTTAAAACAAGCACCAGAAAATCCGGGTAAAACCATTGCAGCCCGGGCTGCCGCAGGAGTTCCCGCGCTTCGTCGCTCTGCTTCGGCCGTGGCTTCGGGGCACCTCGCGAAACCGGCGGTCCATACTGTAGGGGCCTTAATAGTTAGAGTAGCGTTTTGGGGCCCATTGTACTAAAACCATAATAAGGAACCCCCAAAAAAGTATAGGTAATTATTTAGGCCCCTATATTACACACTCGGACAGGCCAGTCTCTGTCCATTGAGGTTTGCATGAACTTTGGGAGTGGGTGAGAAGATTCTGAGGACCAGTTTAGAGCTTATTGAGGTCGCCATAGTTGCGCCCTCAAGCGTTTTGGTCTAGCAAGGGATTCCACGTTCACCGCCCTATGCTGCTAGTGAGGTGACTATCTAGAGAAGAGAAACCAGGAAAGATCTCAAACAATCGAACAGTGGCCGGGCCAAATGAAGAGAAACTACAAAAGCTGCAAGGGGTAACACCACCAAAGACCCGATTTCTTTCCCACTGTGCTTCCTCGGGCAAGCCCTGCTGTTTAGAAAAGAAGCTTCTTCGCTCAAAAGACGCTTATATCAGGGGGGCTGAATAAGCGTCTGCCATAGTATATTCGCAAAAATGACCCCCTAAGGAATAGTATTGGTTATTTTCAGGGCACTGTATTGCATCTTGCCATTGCCCTCCTGCTATTGCTTCACCATGGCCTGGAGCTTGCCGAGCAGCTGCCACAGCCATGAGGTGCCGCGATGCGGTGCCCAAGCTTTGGGGCACGGAACACTAAGCCAAGCTACGCTACTCAGGGGATCGTGGGTTTGGCGCTTTCATTGAAGGCGCAGGGACTCAGGGCTTAAAGGGTTTACGGTTCCAGGGTTTCAGAATTTCAGGATCACTGAAAACTTGCTGTCATGGCGATAAAAGTAGAAGAGGGCACCTCTCATGTCCACTGTGACCTCCTGGGTCTTCTGATCCAAGTAGATCCCCCCCAAGATAGCCAGAGCCCATGACATGCGATGATTCTAGGGCTAGATTCTAGGGATGGAGCCGTGGTTGTGGATTGAAGTGTCTTGCTAGTGAGAGGGGCTCGGCGAAGTGCACTTCGACGGCAAATCAAAAAAAAAGTTGCCGGGTCCATGTTGCATGCTCCGGGCTTCAATTCAGCTGACATCAAGAGTCAAAACCGGCGCCGAGACTGCTCCATACTTGCATCTCCAATGTTCCCCAATGGGCCTTGTGCCTCATCCATGAATGTGGCCAATGTCACACCGAAAAAAAACCTTTGCCATATCCATCCCGGTGTCTACATTGTCACTGCCCCCGGAACGGCAAACCGAAAACTTCAAAAACCTCGGAGGGCTTCAGCCGGAGGAGCTGCCGCGCCATGAACTCATAGGGTTTCTCTGGCTGCTCCTTGATCACCTGAAGAGGTCTTTTAAAAGACCTTTTTCAAAAAAATCCATTTTTAAAGAACCTATTTTCTA